TTCCAGCAAGGCTGGAAGCATCCCCCAGTGCTGTGGGAGCTCAGGTCCTCTTTTTCCCCAGCCCTCCTATGTTGGTTCATTTTTGTGTTGCTATAAAGAAATACCTGAGACTGCATAATTTGTAAAGAAAAGAGGTTTACGTGGCTCACGGTTCTGCAGGCTATACAAGAAGTGTGGCGCCAGCATCTGCTTCTGTTGAGGACCTCAGGGAACTTCCACTCATAGTGGAAGGCCAAGGGGAGCAGTCATGGTTGAGAGGTGGAGGTAGGTGAGCTACCACACTCTTTTAACAACCAGCTCTCATGGGAAATACCAGAGCAAGAACTCACTCATCACCAAGGGATTCATGAGGGACCCAGCCCCATGATCCAACACCTCCCACCAGGTCCCACCTGCAATATTGGAGGTCATATTTCATTTTTAAAAATTTGTTTTGAAAAATTTTTTAACGCTTCACGAATTTGCATGTCATCCTTGCTCAGGGGCCATGCTAATCTTCTCTGTATCATTCCAATTTTAGTATATATGCTGCCAAAGTGAGCACTGGAGGTCACATTCCAACATGAGATTTGGAGGGAACACACATCCAAACCCTATCACCACCCAGCTAGGAACTCTTGGAGGGAAGACTTGAGTGAGGTTCATCTCTGGGCTCCCAGACACACCCAGCCCAGGGCCTGCTCCCTCAGACTTTGCCCTGGTCTGCCACTGAGAAGCCCATTTCACTTTAAGTCCCATCTGCCCCAGAAGAGAGACTGGTCAAGTGGGGGTGGGGGACAAGAGGGTGCTGGACCCACCTGAGTGCAGGAAGCAGGAGCAGCTCTCCTCTCTAGGAAGGCATGGTACCTGTCCCCCGCCCTCCCAGGGACAGGGAACTTTTCCCCACATGGTCCAGCGCACATGGCTCTGGGTGCTCTTCCTGCGTCACCCCTCAGGGCCACATCTGGACAGTGCCTCCACTTATCTCCATGTCTGCTGTTCCCATCCTGGACAGCCACTTATGGCCCTTCCCCGCCTGCTGTCCTGGCCCTGTTCCTACCCACCTGCCACTTCACAGCACAGCTGGAGTTGCCCCTGAGTTGGCAGGTCCTGGCGTCCTGTCCTCTCTGCATGCCTGGTCTTCTTGGCCCTCCCCTCTTTTTTTGCGTTCAGCCCCGAATCCTCACAGTAGCTCCCTGCAGGCAGGTGGTAGGGGGAGACTTGTTTTACACAGCAGGCCACCGAGGTGCAAAGAAGTGTGGTCACCTCCAGAGGTCCTAGAATCTTGAGTCTGCTGGTGATTGGGATCAGCCTCCCTGACCCAGCTACCCGTTCTCCCCTAGTACCCTTCTCCCCTCCATGTTCCTGCTGTGCTGGCCCCTCAGCCTGTGCAGGCCTGAAGTTCATTTTCTCTCTGGACTTCCATGAATGCTCATCCCTCATGGGAATGCCATCCTTTTCTTCTTTCCTGTTTTCCTTTCTAAACCTACTTGTCCTCTGCATTTTACTTCAAATGTCATTTCCTAGACAGGTCCTCTCTGATCCTTTCAATCTAAACTATAACTCGCCCTGTCTAGTTTCTCTGCTGGTCCTCAGGATGTCTTTTAGTTGTGTATTGATGTGTACGGTTCTGTGTGAGGTAGCAAACAGGATGGGGTAGTTAAGAGCTCGTGCGCTGGAGCCAGACACTTGAGGTAAAATTCCAGCTCTGCAGTTTTCTGTTTGGTGGCCTTAGGCAGGTGACTCAATCTGTGTGCCTCAATTTCCCCATCTGCAGAAAATGGATAATAACAGCATCACCTCATAAGGTTGTGGGGATGATTAAAAGGGTCAGCAGATGTGAAGTTTGTAGCACCCATGCCAGCTTGTAATAAAAGCTTTAAGCAGGTGTCACTTGTGATTATTTTGGGGAGGGGTAAAGCACGTGATTGGGCACTAATAAGGGTGGAGTAGAGGCTTGCTGCCTCCTCTTGCGTGGTGGCGCCTCCCTGTCTTTTTCCTGTGCACCATGATCGTGTTTTCCAGCTCAGAGGTGGGAGTGTGGTTTGCCGAAGGATTTGCTCATTTGTAAAAGGGGCTCAGTGCTCTGAGGATTAGGTGGGCTGAGAGAGGAAAGCCCTTGAGTAGGGCCTGGCTTGTGAAGAGTGCTTCCTACCTGGGTTACATGTCTCCCTGTCCCACTTGAGGCAGGGCCCTCTTGTCACCCTAGCATGCCTGGCATTCATGAAGTATCTGTTCAATACGAGACTGAACAGGGACACAGAGATGTGCCCTGGCCTTGTCCCTGCCTCCTGTCTACCCTGATGTGGTGGAGGCTCTGGGTGAATAGAGAATTTACACCAGAGATCCATGCTGGGGAGAAGGATGAGCTGAGAGAGGATTCAACTGGACGGGATGTGGGGGTCCCGTGAGCTGAGCTTTGGTGTGTGTTCTGGATGGAGGATGTGGACAGGTCATTGTGAGTAAGGCTTTTGGTGGGAACATTTTCTTGTGACTGGAATGTAGGGTATGGGAGGACATGGCAGGGATTGGAGGAGTTCAAGGAGGAGGGTTGGCTGAGGAACCCACAAGAGAGAGGTGAAGGCCTGGGTGAGGGCCATGGGGGTAGGGAGGTGGGTGTTGAAATTACAGTTCCTGTTTCTGGGTGCTTTCTGTGTTGTAGGGCCATGAGTCAAGCATTTTATGAGTTGCCTCATTTAATCCTTGTGACCTCAATGTGCAGCAGGGACCTCTTTGTTTTTCAGATGAGGAAACAGGCTCAGAGAGGTGAGGTCACATGCCCAAGACCCCACAGCTAGAGAGTGGCAGAGCTGGGACTCACCTCAAGGTCTGTGGGACTCCGCCACCTGGCCCTGCCTCTATGGCTAACCACCCCTGTGTGGCCTGGAATAGGTGCTGCTCCTCGCAGCCCCTTGCTCTCCCACCCACATCGATCGAGGTCATGGCCAGCTGCTTACTGGAGGCAAGGACGCAGTCAAGTATCTGGTCCTCTGGATGGAGACAGCTGTGCCTGAGTGCCGTGGGAGGGCCTGGGGGCTGAGGCTGGGCAGGCTTCCTTGGGCCTTGAGTGGAGAGGATGGGGTTCCCCTAGAGCCAGAAAGAGGAAGGGTTTGGGGTGGGAGGAGGAAGTAGGCAGGGGTGTGAAGTTGTCTTGGGGAGCAGGGGCCCTGGCTTCTTTCTGCTCTGTGGCTGACATGGTCTGTCAAAGTTGAAGGGAGCCATAGCATGAGATATTCCCTCTCAGCGCCTTGTTTCCTCATCTGTCAATTGGGCTTTAGGTGGCCCGTGCCCCACTGGGCTGATTCTACTACATCCCCAAGGGTCAGGCAATTGGCTTATCAGAGGAATTGGTGACTGCCATTCCAGGAGCACTCCTTAGGTGCTGCTCACAGTGCTAGCTTGTTCCTTTCTATCCATTGCTCTCTCTTTAATCCTATTAACAGCTCCTTACAGCAGGAATTGTTCCCTGGTTTAGGCAGGAACCCATGCTTAGAGAGGTTGTGACTTGTCACAGGTCATACCGCTGAAGGCTCCTGTGTGGGAATCCACTTCATGATTAAGGAGCCTGCTCTCAGAGACATAGGAAGTTAAATGACCTCTGTCAAACACTGCCATTGCCTGGCTGTGTGACCTTGGGTGAGTCACCTCACTTCTCTTGGTCTCCATTTCTTCATCTGTAATTTGGGGGTGATAAGACGACCCGCCCCACAGGGTCATTTATAGGTTAAATGAATTTCTGTGATTCAAGTACTTGGTGTAGTGCCTGGCAGATAGTCGGCACTCTGTAAGTGTTGGCTGCTGCTATTTACAGCTCACAGCTGATCCTGAGGACAGCCTCATTGGGTGTGTTTAGAGAGGGTACTGTCAGTAGCCCAGGTGATGGGTAGGAATTCAGAAATCCTAGAAGAGAGGTGGTATGCCCAAGTTCATGATTACAGGGATAGCCTCAGAAGTCCAGTGTCCTGCCCCTCGTGCACAGCTGCCACCTCATTTGGGCAGATGTGGGGAGAGTTGTGACAGAAACCAATTCAAACTGGCTTCAGCAAAAAGGGAAGTTTGAGTGTAGCTGAAAATCGAGCTACGATCCTGGGCTCATGTAATGCCCTCAGGAATCTTTTTCTCTCTGTGGCTGGCCCTGTGTAGGCTTCCTTCTCTCCTCTTGGCGCAGTGGCCCTCAGCAGCTCTGGGCTTCCAACCCACCATCTTTGCAGCTCTGTGGCAGGAGAGCACTTGACTCCCAGCAGAGCCAGCACAGGTCTAGCCGCAAACCTCCCAGGCCTGGTTGGGACCCTGCAGTGCTGGCTCAGGTGGATGGGAGGGATAGGGATGTGGTTGGCCCTCTGTGAATCTCATTGTTTGGGGGTGGGGTGTGAGGCTGGTTGCCTAAAGGCAAGTCCATAAGCTTATGCATTAGTTCTTCACAAGTACATATTGAGCACCTACTATGTGCCACAACACAAGCGAACAAAACAGACAAAAACCCCTTCCTTCCTATTATCTGTCTCCCCACACTGGGCGCTCCCAGTGTAGAGAGACAGATGATGAGCAGATAGTAACAGAGGAGGTTAGAAGGTGAGAAGTGCCTTGGGCAAAAATGGACCTGGCGTGTTGCAGATGGGGCTGGGTGGCTGGTTACAGTTGTAAATAGGTTGGCCTAGGTGGGTCTTGTTGGCAAGGGGGCTTTTGAGGAAAGACCTGCAGGAAGAGAGGGAGAAAGTGCTGTGTAGATCTAGGGAAAGAGCCCCTCTGGCCGAGGAGAGGCAGTGCCGAGGTGGAGCCTTCCTGCTTGTTGGAGCAGTGAGGAGGTAGTGGGGCTGGAGAGGAGGAGGATGTAGGGCTGGAGAGGAGGAGGATGTACTTGGTCAGGGAACTCCACAGAGCTGGAGAGGCTGTGTCAGGACTAGGGTGTGGTTACCGGAAGTGGGTGGAGAGAAGAGGCTGGAGGGAGGAAGGGTAGCATTCCTGTGAGCTGTGTGTCTAGTGTTCGCCCCCTCCCTGACAAATCCCTCCATCCCCTGCAGACATCCGGCTTCGGGTTCGAGCTGAGTACTGCGAGCATGGGCCAGCCTTGGAGCAGGGCGTGGCATCCCGGCGGCCCCAGGCGCTGGCGCGGCAGCTGGACGTGTTTGGGCAGGCCACCGCGGTGCTGCGCTCAAGGGACCTGGGCTCCGTGGTGTGCGACATCAAGTTCTCAGAGCTCTCCTATCTGGACGCCTTCTGGGGTGACTACCTGAGTGGTGCCCTGCTGCAGGCCCTGCGGGGCGTGTTCCTGACTGAGGCCCTGAGAGAGGCTGTAGGCCGGGAGGCTGTCCGCCTGCTGGTCAGTGTGGATGAAGCTGACTATGAGGCTGGCCGGCGCCGCCTGTTGCTGATGGAGGAGGAGGGGGGGCAGCGCCCAACAGAGGCCTCCTGATCCAGGACTGGCAGGACTGATCCCACCTCTGAGTCTCCAGGCCACCTTATCCTGGGAGGACAACCATCTCTACCCCTAGAGGACTGTCACTCCAGCATCTTTGAGGACTGTGACAGGACCAGGACAGTAGGCCCTTTGACAGCCCCTCCCACAGGATGTGGGCTCTGAGGCCTAAACCATTTCTAGCTGAGTTTCCTTCCCAAACTCCTCCTACCCCCAGGTGTGCTCCCTTAGCCTCTGGAGGCAGGGGCTGGGCCTGGGCCTGTATCTCCAAAGGGAGGGGGCACAGCCACACACTCACCAAAGGCCCCTGCACATTTTGTCTCTGATCTTGGGCTGTCTGCACACTCACAGGTGCACACACACTCATGCTCACACTGCCCCTTCTGAGATCTTCCCTGGGCTCCTGCCCTGCTTCCCAGCACACACTTCTTTGGCCTAAGGGCTTCTCTCTCAGGACTTCTAATTTGACCACACCCTGGGCTTCAGCCACACTAGTGGGTACTGGAGCTGGGGTGCTCCAGTATGCACTAGTGTACTGTGGCAAGCTCCACCTTGCCCACATATCTCCAGCCAGCCAGGGCCCTGCCTAGCTTCTATATACAGACCTGACTGTCCTCACCTTTCCCCTGCTGCCCAGAGCTGGACACAGACTTGCACTTGGACTCTCACCCGGAGCGTCACACGGGAGTGTTGTGGCAGACCAAGGCCTACTGTTGCACATGGGGCCAAGATAAGAAAACGGCTGCCTTCTTGGGAAGGGAATGCAAAGGCTTTGGGGGTGATGGAAAAGACCTTTTACAAATGGTACCAATTAAACTGCCCTGGAAGGGGCATAGGTGGGCATCAGGATCTCTAGGACTCTTTATTTTAAATTTTTTTTTAAGGGTTGAGGGTCTTGGTATGTTGCCCAGGCTAGCCTCAAACTCCTGGGCTCAAGTGATCCTCCCACCTCAACCTCCCAAGTAGCTGGGACTACAGGTGCCCATCACCACGCCCAGCTTTTGGATCTGTGGGCTGGTGGAAAGAGTGTTCCTAGCCCAGTGTTAGGGGCTGGAGTATGGTTAGGATGCTGGACCATCTGCCAGTCGATAACCACATGATTATCCTGCCCTCTGGGCCTCAGTCTCCTCATCTGGCAAAGGAAGAAATACAATACTGCCTCGGAGTCAGAAACTCATCTAACCATGTTCACACGTGCTTTGTTCCTGTATGTCCTTGGAGGCTCCCAGAATTTTTAATTTTTAATTTGCGTGAGGTGGGCTAGCTACACCCAAGGCTGATGGAGGCCCTAAGCTTTGGAAATTGAAAAGAGAGGCAGCCTGGGGTTGTCTTCCTGGAATTTCTCTCCATGTGGCTCCCCACTGGTCACACTTTGTGGACATTCACCTTCTCTTCACCTGGGACTGTTCTTTGTGAGGCCATGCACTTCTTCCTGCTGTTCTGTGGCTCCTGCTGGGTTGTGGCCTCTTGCCCTTCCCCCACGCCTCATAGGGACTCAGGAAGTCAAGTTTCTTAATACCCTGTGTTTTCCTTCCTGAGGGGGAAGGGACTTGGGTGGGGAGCAGGGGGTAGGGTGGCAGGGATTTCCAAGGCTGCCTTTCCTGTGGAGAGGGGTGCCCCTGCCCACACCTTGGAGCCTGTCCTGGACCTTTGACCCATCTTGATGTGTGGGTGTGGGGGAGTGGCAGAGTCCAGGCATGAGTCCTGTCTAGGAGCCAAGGCCTGGTCCAGCAAGCTGCTGTGTGATCCAAGGTTCTGCCTTTACCCTCTCTGGGAGAAAGCCGAGTTCCACTGGGTACCTACTCAAGATCTATTAGCACCCAGCCACGCTGTGTGGGATTTTATCCCCATATTTGATGTGAAACCGGCTGAGAGAGGGCAGGTGATTTACCTGAGGAGTGGGAGCACTGAAATGGGGAGAGTACCTTAGTGACAGCAGTCAGGTGGGGAGTGAGGGGATTCCACTCCCTTGCCTTGACCCTTTTCATTTCATGACCTCAACCTCAAGAGTTTGAGGCTCTCCTCTAGATGGGGTTATCTGTGCTTGGGCTCCCAGCTGCTGGGCTAAATTCTAGGGCCTGCTATTCACTTGAGCCCCTAGTCCCTGTTTTGTCTTCTGGCCTCCTCATTTGAATATGGGTCCCACCTCAAAGCTGGGCACAGTTCAGGCTCCGCCCCCTGCTTCAGTTCCACGTATTGGCCCCGCCCCATTCTCCAGGTTTCCTGACCTGTAACCCTGTTCAGCCCCAGACCCGCCTCTCGCTAACATGTACCTGTCAGGAGGTGCATCCTCGAGGCTGAAGGGACCTGCGCAGGCGCAGTGCATTTGGCGGGAACCATGCGGCAGCGGCTTGTGCCTCCAGAGCTTCCCGGAGCTCACGCGCGTTGGAACTCGCCTGAGTGGGTCAGAGTGCGCGCCGGGCGCCGTAGTTGAGGGACAGACCCTCGGGGCCCAGAAGTGGGTCGGATCCGAGCCGGGAAGACAACCTAGGGAGCTTCAGGGGTGGATAAACAGGATCCTGTGGGGACAGGGCGTGTGGCCATGGGAGATTGGGGCTGTGGGATCCTGGAGGGAGGCCGGCCGCGGCCCACGGAGGAGCGGAACCAAGGGCTGGCCTGTGTGGGCTGAGCAGGAGGTCAACAGTGACGGGGGCATTCCGGGAGGGGACGGCCTTTGCTGCAATTTCTCGGCCCTTGTGAAGGCCTCGGGACGTGCCTGAATGGGATGTAGTCGGACGGAGTCAGAGGTAAGTGGGGACGTGCCGCCACCAGCCCCCTCGAGGCTCAGCAGCCATCGCCTCCACGTTCTTCCGTGGGGGGAGCAGGAGCAGGTGGGGACACAGGCCTGGGCCCCGATAGTTACCACACGAGGAGGCCACGTGAGACCCGCCCAGCGTGTCTAGGCTGGCGGCAAATGACCCACAGGGCCCTGAGGGGACCCCGGCCTGGGCGCTGGCTCTGGAGGATGCCGGCTCTGAGGTGGACACGGCGGTCGGAGCCCAGAGGACGCTGAGGGCGCCGGGAAGCTGCCTGTGCATTCCGCGACCAGTCGCTGCCGCCGCCCGCACACTTTTCCCTGTGAAATACCCTTGCGAGAAGCCCATGGCAGAAACGAACAGTTCTTATTGTGAGATCGCACCCCTCCCTCCCTGTGTCACCCATTCCAAGAAATACATTAGCAGGGACGCTAGAGGACATCGGGGAGCCGCCTGCCCACGCTCCTCCCTCCCTCCCTCCTTCCTTTCCCTCCCTCCCTCCTTCTCCCTCTCTTCCTCCCTCCTCCTCTTCCCTCCCTTCCTCCCCCTTTCTCCCTCCCTCCTTCCTTCCCTTCCTCCCTCCCTCTCTCTTCTTCCCTCCCTCCCTTCTTTCCTCCCTTCTTTCCCTCCCTCTTTTCCTCCCCTCCCTCCCTTCCTCCCTTTCTCCCTTCCTCCCTCCCTGTCTTTTCTTTCCTTCCCTCTCTTCCTACGTTCCTTCCCTCACTCTCTTCTCCCCTTCCCTCCCCTCCACTCCTTTCCCCTTCCCTTGTTTTCTTCTTTCTACCTTCCCTCCCTCTCTTCCTCCCTTTCTTCCTCCCTGCCTGCCTTCTTTCCTTCCCTCTTCCTCCTTCCTTCCTTCCCTCTTTCCTTCCTTCCTCCCCCTTTACTCTCTTCCTCCCTTTCCCCCTCTCTCCTTCTTCCTTCCACCCACCCTCCCTCTCTCCCCTCCTTTCTTCCATCTACCTTCCCTCCCTTCCTCCCTTTTTTTCCTTCCTTCCTTCTTCTTCCTCCCTCCCTCCTTTCCTTCCTCCCTTCCCTCCTTCCCTTTCCTCCTTCCTTCCTTCCTTTTCCCTCCCTTCCTCCCTTCCTCCCTCCTTTCTTTCCTTCCTTCCACCCACCCACCCTCCCTCCCTCCTTTCCTCTCTTCTTCCCTTTCTCCCTCCCTTCCTTCCTGCCTTCTACCTTCCTTCCCTCCTTCCCTTCCTTCCTTTCTTCCTCCCTCCATCCCTTCTTTTCCTCCCTCCCTCCCTTCTTCCTTCCTTCCTCCCTCCCTCCCTCCTTTCTTCCTTCCATCCTTATTTCCTTTCTCCCTTCCTCTCTTTTCCTCCTCCCTTTCTCTCTTCCTTTTTTTCTTCCCCACCTCTCTTTCTTTTACCCACCCTCCTCTCCTTTATTCCATCCACCTTCCCTCCCTCCCTCCTTCCTTCCTTCCTCCCTCCTTTCCTTTCTCCCTTCACCCACCCACCCTCCCTTTCTTTCTTTTGTCTACTTTCCCTCTCTTCCTTCCTTTCTTCCTCCCTTTCTTCCTTCCACTTTCCCTTCCTTCCTTCCACCCACCCTTCCTTTCTTCCTTCCATCTTCCCTCCTTTCCTCCCTCCCTCCCTCACTTCCTTCTTTTCTTCCTTCCCTTCTTTCCTCCCTCCCTACCTTCCTTCCACCTTCCCTCTCTCCCTTCCTTTCCCCTCCCTTTCTTCCTTTCTTCCCCCACCTCCCCTCCCCTACCTTCCTTCCATTTCTCTTTTTCTTTTTCTTCTTTCAACAGGGTCTTGCTCTGTCACCCAGAATGGAGTGTAGGGGCACGATCACAATTCATTGTAACCTTGAACTCCTGGGCTCAAGCAATCTACCTCAGCCTCTCAAGTAGCTGGGACTACAGGCATGCACCACCACACCTGGCTAATTTTTTTTTTTGTAGAGACAGGGTCTCACTATGTTGCCCAGGCTGGCCTTGAACCCCTGGGCTCAAGCAATCTGCCTTGGCCTCCTAAAGGGCTGGGATTACAGGCGTGAGCCACCGCCTTGCTTTTCTTCAATTTTCTAGTTTTTCATCACTTAGAGTTAATTTTATCTCTTCTTGAACATAATATAAATGAAATCATACCATATGTTTGCAGTTGTGTCTGGTTTCATCTGCCCAGCATTGTGTTTGTGAGATTCTTCTATGTTCTGCTTATCTGTACTTTACTCATTTTTATTGCTGTATCATGGTATTCCATTGTATGAATATACACGATGAGTTCATGCAGTGAACTGTTGATGGACATTTGGGTTGTTTCCAGTTTGAGGCTGTTATGAATAATGCTGCTATGAATATTCTTGTGCATGGTTTTTGGTGACCAATGCTTGTGTTTCTATAGGGATATATCTGGAGGCAGAATTGCTGGACTTGGGTATGGGTATACACGGGTTTGGTAGGTGCTGTCTATGCTGTTTCCTATAATTGCTATAACAAATAACTATAAACATGCTGGCTTAACACAATATAAATGTATTCTCTCACAGTTCAGGAAGCCAGAAATCTCAAAACCAGTTTCACTAGGCTGAAATCAATCTCTTGAGTAGCTGGGATTACAGGCATGCACCACTATACCTGGCTAATTTTATATCATTAGTAGAAACAGGGTTTCTCCATGTTGGTCAGGCTGGTCTTGAACTCTCGACCTCAGGTGATCTGCCCACCTCAGCCTCCCAAAGTGCTGGGATTACAGGTGTGAGCAACCGTGCCTGGCCTAGAATTATTGTCTTATCACCAAGGGTAAATAAGATGCAGAGGTAGACTTTTCTCTTTCCCTCAAACACCAAGTCATTCAGCAAACATTTACCAACTTAAGCACCTGTCCTAGGTGTTAACTCACCTAACAAGACGAGTTAGACTCATTCCCTCCCTTGATAAACTCTGGCTTAGTAGGGGACATGATCACTGGGGACATCTCAAAGGGATGTAAGAGGGACTGTGGCAGTCAGCTGAGGAAGACACCAACTCTGACCTGGCTTCACAGAACCCAGATTTCCTTGAGGCTTAATGTCCTCAGGTTCCACTACCCTCTGTCCCACTTCTCTATTGACATCTGTTGACTGGCCACTTCACCTCGTTCCTGAAGACTAGCACTTGCTCACAGACTTCCTCTCCACCCCAACCTATGCTGTCCTGCTGGGATACTTAATTGTCCCTGATAATCCATCCTTGTAATTATCTAGCCTCACAGTCTTTTTCCACTTCACCTCTGGTGACCTTCATCCCATTTTAGTCATCCACTCCCATGACCACACCTTGAATTTAGTCATCAGCGGGAAGTGTAACATACATAGTGAACATTTACAGAGTGCTTATACCACATACCAGGCCCTTTGCTAAATGCTTTACATGTGTTTACCCCTGACACAAACCTGCAAGGCCAGTGTTAGTATCCTCATTTTACA